TTTGCTGTACTGAAACTGCTCAATGCTATTTCCCTAATTATCAGCAACTTTAGATAACTGAGATATTAATTTCACACAATTTAAAACAAATGGGGCACGAGAGATTAGGGAACACCAATATGTAAGCACAGAGCACATTAAACCAGAAACAAGCCTATGGGAAAATATTCGTACCTCTCCAATACCTCAAATTTCCTTGTTCACTCATCTTTCTTAAACTTTTTAAACTTTTCTCCCTATTCCTTTCCCTCTGCATCCTAAATACCCCTATCTCCTCTACTCTTCCAATCTAAATGTGTTCTGAAATAATTGCAGATGTTGTGAGTTGGAAAAATGAGAGTGACAAGTAAGAAATACTAATTTATACTCAGAGCCAATGAATCTTTGTATTTCTTCATGTCTGGATTTCATCATTTGCTGATTTGCAATGTAGAAGAACAGCGTGAATGAGAAACAAAGTTCTGGCAATGTTTTTTTCTTTTTTCTGTCCTTTAACAAATGATGTCTTCTGTCAAAATAACCCCCCATAAAACCTTACATAGCTCCCTTGTGACTTCTTCCTGTGCCAATTAAGTTCAAATGAAATGTAGTGGCTTTTTATTTACTTTTTTATTTATTAAATGTGTCCAGACAGCCTCTGGCTACCATTAGAAATTTGCAAATAAAACAGACGGCTTGTTGGTCTGTGTCAACTCAGCTCAGAGTCCCTTCCAGGATAAGCTAGACATGTTCATCACCAGGCAAGGGCCTGAGCAAAGAGATGAGCCATGCATCCCACCCAAAAGATACCAACAGGCCAGTGGAGGATATGAAATTCACAGGTAGACAAACCTCCTAGTGGTGAGTAGGTAGGAGGCATTTCCATGCTGAAATACCCCTGCTAAGAATGACAGGTGTTAGAATATCTCTGCTGGCTTTTTGCAAAGAAAGAGAAGGGGGTCAGGAGGTAGTTTGGTGTCTGCCATGCCTTCTCCCAGCAGTGGGATCAAAGCTGGGTTCTGCAGTCACTCAGTGATAGGAGTACTTTCCACTGAAAATGGGTGGGTAATTATGCATTCACAAAGGTTCCTTGTAGGGGTGAAGCTCAAAGGATCAGACTGTTGATTTTGCAGTTGCAAGGAAAGAATACAGATTCAAGACCTGGAGTGAGATGCTCTTGATGCTGCTCTGAGTGTGTGTGTGGGGCGGACTAGAGACATCTACAAGTCCCTCTCCCACCTCAGCTATGCTATGATTCAGAAAGTCTCCTCCAGTTCTAATTCCTAAGTTCATAGGTTATGTTAAAGATTAAAGACAGAAGTTGTGATTCTGTTTTATACCTTTGCAGAGGAGAAAAAACAGTGAGTTCAAAGATGTTACAGTAGGATCAAAGCACTCTAAGAAAAGAATGTGACCTCACAGTGGTCTACCAAATTTGCTCTAGTTTAGTTTAGAAACTTCCTCTGTTTTCACCCAGTTACTTCAGGAGCAAAGTTAAACTGTCAAGAATGGGTGTTAGCAGGTTAAAGAGCTGCAGACTGATAAATGCAGGTCTCCTCAATCAAGCCTGGTGAGAGGCACTTACATGCCACATGGGCTGCCAACAGGACAATCTATCAACTCTGTAGGTGTCCATACCATAACTGAGGTAAGCTGGCAGATGACAGGCAATTATTCATAAGCTGTGAATAACAAGATGTGTGACATAGCTAATATCACGCGATGTCTTTTCCTTATTGATGTTGTGGAAAAAAAAAAAAAAGATTTAAAGGTGAGACAAGGTAAACTGGAAAATTTTGGGCTGTTGGGTTTTTTTAGGGTTTAACAACTGTGTATATAATTACTGAGAGAGAAGATCATACAGTTAATATGAATTTAGCTTAAAATAATGGTTTTGATTATCGTTTGTGCTGTTTTATGTCAAGGCCTACATTCAGGATCCAGTTACCTGAGTAAGATGAATGTCTCACAAAAAACTTGAAACAGAGCATTTTGCTGAATTCTCCTTCTGACATTATTACTATAGAGTATGGGTATGCTGCTTTCTTCTAACTCAGTGACAGTTAGGTCTACTGTTTCTATGTCAATCCCCATGTTCTTGGTATGTTTGGTGACATCCCATCATTCTCCCTTCTTCATCTGTTACTTCCTCTCTTCTCAGCTTATTTTCTTTCATCTGGTCATGTCCATGTCTTTTCCATAAACTTCATGTGCTTTCCTCATTTTTCTCCTCTCCATAAATACAAGCTCTCCTTCATCAGAGCCTGAATCACTCATTAATATCATCCCCACAGACTTCTCTTGAACAACCATTTCCAATGGCACATCAGCACATCGTGACTGCCAAAGAAGGCACTCAAAGGGAAACAAACTGCCACTCAACATGCCCAGCATGACAGCAAACACATGGGATGTCATTCCACAACCACAGGACTTGCTGTTATTTTGTTTTGATTTTCCACATCCACTGGTACTGGACTAGCAACTTCACAAAGAATGGTTATTTAACAGCAGCTATAAAAGCCAGAGTTTGAGCTAGTAGCTTTAGAAAGCTGTGACTTGATTTCACGCTGGCCAGCCTGAGAGTCAGTGTCAAAAGGCCTGAAATGACACAGGCCCAGACAAACAGAAGACATAAGACAGTGATTTCATAGGAGAAATCAAGCTTTTGCAATAAGCTTAGGGACCAAAAGATGAACAGCAAAGGTTAAAGACAGCATGTAGAAAGACACCGCCCACTCCTCTTCCAGGATAACAGGGAAAATATTTGTCTTCTTTGCTCTAGCTTGGAGCACAACAGAGCTCTCTACTTTCTTTTTAGGTAGGAGAATCATATGAGGAACCAAAAGATGGAGCCTGATTTTGGCTATAAAGTGCTAATCCAGTTGTATAGTCTCTTTCTAGCCATCAGCCAGTAGTCACCTGAGCACTATCACGGTAGAGTATTTAACCTATAACTTTTCAACAACATATATCGCAGTAGCTAAAAAGAGAAGATCTAGATCAAGTGGAGTGAGACAGACACGGTTCTGTAGTGGCTTCTTCTCTAAAAGAAGTTATGAACAGAGCCTGCTATGCTAACTTTCCCCCCTAGAAAGACACTGTCATCAGTATTATCCGCTTGAGCTAAAATTCAGAGGAAGTAAAACTGCAACATCAGCACATTCTTCTCCATGGCTTTCCACACCAGAGGGGTGCTAGAGAGCCCAATGAGCTCCAAAAAGAGCAGGCACTAGCACGTACATGTACCATCTTTCCATTGACTCCCTGTCAGGAGACACCTCCTTCCCGACACATCCCTGTCTCTTTTTTCTCTACCCATCAGGCCACCAGACCTACATCTTTGTCTTGCTTATTTGGATCCATTTTAAGCAACACATGGAAGGTTTTTTGGAGATCCCTGGTGAAGAAAAGTAGTCCAAATTAGACTCATCTAATGAAAACATGACAGGAAGCGTTTAACTCCCTCTTATTCATCAAATCCTAGTCCTCCCTAAGAGCCACAAAAGCTTTATTTGTCATACATGCTGTGCCATAAGGGTTCCTCTGCTTTCAGTTATACAAATTCTATCTGCTGCCTTGTCTTCCCATAGTGCTTTGTGATGAATGTTGCAGGGAGAGGTTAAGAGTGTGCACCAACGCCATGCCTCTGCCATGGCCAAATGTGATATTCCCAGTGTTTATGATTGATAGATTGAAATGACAGTGACAATAAGGTTTGCACATGTGCCTCAGGCATGCATGTGCACACATCATGGGAAGACTCTGAAAAAATTCCTGTTAAGTACTTCCTCTGTCACTCTGTGTTTTTAGACCCTTGTTAAAAATTTAGGATATAAAGTATTTGCTGCTGTGGACATCATCTCAAATTCTCAGACAATCCACAGAAATACCAAAGTTTTCACAGTGATACTTTCCCTTGAATGTACTTTCTTCAAAACTGGTATTCCAAAAATTTCCTATCTGCAAAATTTGAGCCTGGCTGTGACAGGCTTGTGGCATCATATGATATAATTTCTGTTATCTGGGTTTGATAAACAGGAAAGCATTTCTTGCAAGAATTGTTGCACATGCATTTTTTTTTTTCGTAATAGTCCCATGGGAGAATATTCGACCAAGTTTACTAATTCCTTTTCTCTGGGCGTTCGTGCCAGTGAAATGTGATAACTTCAATGTTTAAGGAAAGATTGAAATGTCAAAGGGAAATAGACAATGGCATGAGCATATATATTTCCTTGCAGTTATAAAAGATTCTTGGATTATTTCAGTTCTGATCTTCTGGAATTTTAAATAGATTCATGAATTTGTATATGCCCACAAAGAACAAAATCTCATTTTAGTTGCTCACAGAAATGTAATTTATCCTCACAGATTTCATAGGAGCTTCATATTTCAACTCAGGTTATCAGCACTAGAATCTGTAGGACAGAAATAGGAATGCCATGGGTATTTTAAAGACTGATTAGTTTTCTGCTGAGTTCACTAGATGTACAAAGAAATATGCCAAACATCTCTCTATTTTAACCACAAATTTGCATTTTATCATTGCCTCATTCCAATTTGCTTATTTCTCTTTCTTTCTAGAGGCCAAATGACAATTTTCTCTTATAAGGAAAACATACTTCTCATTAGAACCTTTTAAAAGCCATCAAAAGAAAGAATTATAATGAAAATAAAAAATACCTGCTTTGGTTAGAGAATGGACTATTATCTGTGAACAGGATAGACATTGAATTATGAAGCAAAATAAATAATGAAGAAAAATATATTTTAAAGGTCCACTTGAATTTGATAGCAATTTTCTATCCAAGTCAACATATAAGACTCTTGTAGTGTTGCCAGTTCACACAACTTAAGCTTTAAAATTTCCAAAGTGAGTGTTCTGCTGTGAAGCTTGAAATTGGCTCATTTGCAAGTCTTAGGCTGAAATATCACCATCATGTTGAGAAGTGCCCACTGTGTATGCAAGTGCAAATCATACAATTTCTTCAGGGATGCAAATCACCCAAATGGGAACCGAAATGGTATCAGACGACATAGTTTCAAACCAAAGTAACCCCATGGCGAACATTTACCAGTTCCCAAGTGGAGGACAGGTAGATCGTTACCATTGAAAGCAGGAGTGTTAAAATCACTGGGTACGGCACTTGCCACAAACAACATGGAAGGCCGTTGCATAAAAGAGTTAAAAAACCTCTCAGGAATGATTCCTTCAGAAAAGTGTGTGTGATCTATCTCTTTTCCCTCTGCAAGTCAGAGTGAAGGGAAGAGGGAAGCTAGCACAGGGCTATTGCTATCCTTTAGTATCAAGACACCCGCCACTCCTTCCTGTAGAAGATCCGTTACTAGACCTTGACAACAGCTAATGCACCTATACATTGGACGTTGTGTTATTAATGGCCCTGCTAATAGCTGGTGACAGTGAGAGAGTGAATTTCCACAGTTCACAGCCCTTTGTAAGACTTCTTCTGGAACATTTCTCTCCACTATCATCACCCAGACTCCCCCTCTGACCTCTTTATCAGTCAGTGAGTGGTACCAGAGGCTTAAGACACATAATCACAGCAGCGTGCCATGTGTGCTCTGCAGAGCGGCACAATGCAGAGGGAAAAATTAGAAAAAAAAAAGCATTTCTTTAAAAAATACAAGTTCTTGTTAATACTTCATGAGGTAATGATAATGTCATTTAATTTTGCCTTCTCCTTTTGTGCTTACTAACTTCCCATGAATTTTCATTTTTCATCGTCAAGTGAATCTTCATATTAAGATATGTAACCTGATCTAAAACTCACCATTGTCAGTGAAAGTGCTGCCATTGACTTCAGTGAATTTTGGATCAAGTCTGTGTCTACCTTAGACCTCTCTCTCCCTTGGCTCCTAGCCATGAAACCAGAGTCTGAACCTGGCTTATCAGTATAGTCAGGGAATTTAAAAGTAACATTAAAAGAAAACACTATTATGTTTGCTTCCATTTCTGCCTCCCTATCAAGAGAAAGAGAAGTAGCTGCTCATTTCAGTACATCCACAATTAAAGGTAAAATCAACAGCTACAGGTTACAGTTTACTTCAAGCATGCTTTGTGCTCAGCAGACCTTAGAAAGTGGAAACCTTTTGCTCCGCAGATCAAGTGGTTGAATGAATCCCCGTTGTTTGGTACTGATCATGTTACACAGATGTTGCTGAAGCACAGTACTGGCTCTTGGACTGCACTTGGTGCCTGCAGTAGCACCTTAGGTCTTCCAGGGCCTTCAAAGCCTTGCACTTGGCCTTTCACAGAGACGTATCTAAACATGGTGATGCTGCTGGTGGCTGTAACAGGAAGGGTGGCTGTAACGTACTGCTCCATGTGAGTCAGCAGAGGCATCAAATCTCACCACTCTGTCTCTGGAGATTGCCACAGCTTCTCGGAGACACTTTGTTTGCCATTTGCACTATTAATGGTTACCGTACTTCTATGGAAAGCCTAAGTTTTAAGGTGGGCAAAACCATCCTGCGTATCTTCTGTCTAACAAGAGACAATATGAGAATAATATAAGTACTTGACTGTCGATTTGTAGTAATTCAGACTTTGAGTTGCATTTGAGCTGTTCAAAGAGGTTTTAAATACTCCTTTTTTTTTTTTTTCAGGAACATCAAGAAGTTTGTATTGCATAGTAAATTCCATAATTAAAAGACCAGTGAAGCTATTTTCATGTCTGCTTTACAGTAGAAGTAACTTGAATGTTTCTGTTACTCTTTTTGGTGTTTTTCAGCCTCCTAGAAGAACACTTGAATGAATGAATTAAAGTACGTTCAATTTTTTAAATAAGTTCTTAAAGGAATCTTTTAGCTGGTTTGTTTCCTTAACACAAAATATGTATATAATTCTTATTCAAACTCAGAAAAGCTGTTCAATTAGCATAATGCAAAGAATTACCCTGGTTTGCACAATATTGCTGAGGGCTGGTCAAACAGGGAGATTTATACACTTTTTTCCCCCTTTGTATTGCTTTTCTTATTAATATCAGTGGTACCTTTCAGCTTTATTTGGAGCCTTGGGGAACTGAGCAGGTACCTTTTTCTTAGTTTTCTTTCCCAAAAGTCCCAGCTCTAAGGGTCAGATCAATATATGATGCGCTCTGATTAAAGGCTTACAAGACCTAGAAGTTGTTCTGGAAGCACTAAGGCTAATACTGCCTTGGCTCCCAAATAACATGTCATATCTTTGAAGATTATTCTGATAATTCAGCAGTTGGAGGATCCCTTGGCTCTTTGTCTGTCTTAGCATCTATTCCTGGCCACCTACTTTAATGAAATTTGGAGATCTATTTTTTCTCAGAGATTGCTATTCCTCTATCAAATTGGTCAATGTATTCAGAGGAGATGGGGCAGGAGGAGTGGTGAGACACAACCAGACAGATGCAGATCATGACAAATGTCTCCTTTCTTTATTAAATGAGAGAGAAAATCAGCTATCATGTTATATTTTGAAAGAGTTTGGATTTCTGCAGATTTTGCATGGGCAGCATACAGCTCCCTGGGCTGGGCTGGCAGGGAGAAGCCCAAGGTAAATGGTGGTTTTCAAGCCCGCTCTCTCAGCAGCTTCATGGGGAGATATGGGCAGCTTCTCTGAGCCAGCCCCTCCTTTGCCCAGGACTAGACCTTGCCAGGTGCTGCACATGCTGGCCCCACTCCAGCAAAGCACTTAAGCACATGCTTAACTTTCAACACAGCAATTACTCATGGAGAAGTCAAGCCTGGAGAAGCTGCTGCTGCAGAGATAGCAGTGAAAAGGAAATGGGGAGGTGGTGACCTTATTGCCTCTCTTTCCCAATGGACCTGTCTGCAGACATCATTCAGGCCCTGGGGTAAAATGATCGCAGAGGCTAATAGGTCAATGACCTGCTACTCTGTCGTTGGCCTAGCCCCAACCTTTGCAAAAGAGAAGGGAAGGGAGAGGGGAAGGTCTGTACAGTTTGTCAGATGTTATCACTCTTGATAAGACAGAGCTTCACTTTCAGGAATTTTCCTTTCCTAGTTTGCTATGAAAAAAGATGGCAACCCAGAGATCTGTGGTGGCAAAGAGGAAACTCACAGTCTTTTGTTCTTGCTCTGCCACTCTCATCTTGACAGGTTTCCTTTCTCCCTTAAGCTATTCCAATTTCTGGCTCTGCATGTGTCAAAATAAGTTTCCAAAGCAAATCACAAATGCATGGGGTAATTAGAGCTGTCATTTTGATGTCAGGGGAAAGCGCTCCCCTTCCCAAGAAGAATACACCTCCTGGTCAACAGCATATTGTAGTGATGATGAAGAATTTGGCAGTTGTCTTTTGGGTTTTTTTTGGAGTTTTTTTTGTTTTTTTCTGTTTGTTTTGTTTTGTTTTGTTTTTGGTTGTGGGTTTGGTTTTTTTTTTTTTTTCACTTGGGGGATGGGATAAGGAAAAAGAGAATTACCTTATGCTGCTGCCATACAAGCCCTTCTCTGTTTCAAAATCTCTCGGAAAATGCTGCTGAGAGGTAGACAACTATGCATAACCACTGAAACACGTGAAAGTGACCCTAGAGTCACCTCTTCAGAAATGTGGACACCTAGCTGAACTTAAAGAAAATTTTAAAAATATATATTCAAAAATAACATTCAAAAAATTTGAAACACAGGACATGGAAAGATAAGATCCATTCCTTCAGATCTCCAGCAACATGAAAAACTTTTTCTAAGTGTTTGGAAGAGTATCGTTAAAAAGTACTGTGACAAACAGGCATGCAGCCTAGATCCTCACTCTTCCAGAGAGACCCTCAGGGACACATCTGAAGCTCCCTTCACAAGACCAACACAATAACAACATTCTCACCAGGAATCTCCTCTAGACTTTTCTCACAGTTTGTTTTTAATGTAAGCATTTTGTAATAATAGCAACATATATGGAGATAATTATTTCAAAGACTCCTTCTTTTCTTTGTGGGACTTCAAGTGCACACAAAAAGAAATTATTTTCCAAGTGAACTGCCCTGCTTTAGTTTCATACTTCTATGCCATACACAACTCCTTGATTTCTCTAAAATTACAGCTTGCTCCCCAGTCTTCTCTAGGGCACCTGCAGCACCTTGATTACGGGAAATTTCAATCAGAATTGAGCCAAGCTATGTTTTAGATGTGGAAAGAGTTAAAATCATTGGAAAGGAATCTAAAATACGTACTACAGGATGGGAAGAAGAATGGGCTCTCTAATCGAGAAGCAGAACTCCTGCACTCAAATTGGCTCTCTTACTGCTGTCCGATCCACTTTTGGTGAGTCACTTGCTTTCAGTGCCTCTGGGTCCCCAGCTCCGCAGAGGGGATCACTATGATTCCTTTCTTCCATCTTTCATGCATATTTTGCAATGTGCCATTTTTTTAGTCTGTAGGGAGGTACTACTCTGAAGCACCAAGCATGGGGCCTCTCTGAGGTGCAGTTTAGCGGAGTGGTTTGCTGGTGACATCAGTTTAAGAACTCCTGCCTATCCCATCTGCTTGTCCCTGCCTGTGTACTGCAATTCACAGCCCTGTCAGTTGTTCCACTCTGAATTTTTCTGGAAGATGCTGAAAGCAGATCAGGAAACTTATCTAGTTAAAAATAAGTCTCCCCTCACCAACATCATTTCTCAATCAGGTCAATGTACTGATAAGTACAGTGCGGTCCCGTCAACAGATACTAGCACAAGCAAGCAGGCTGTGAGACATAGCACAGGGGTGGGAACAAAGGCTTTGGGATTTCTTAAATTAGTTTAGTCAGCATTTCATTTCACTGCAGCCCGAGTAAAACTTTTTAGGGTGGAGAAGCATCAAGTATGGTTATATGAGCCTCTGCTGCAGCTCTATTATGAAACTTTGCCCTTCCGCAGAATTTCTATTCAAGTACCCCAGCAGCTCTTTGCAAACATTAAGCGCTGTGTCCCTACAACACACCTGGCAGGCAGATACGGTATCCGCTTATCAGATGGGCAAAATGAGCTGCATAGTGACCACGACTATGCAGCACGAGCCAACGCGAGAGGCAGCAAGAAGCAGAAAGTCCTAATTGCTGGACTGATGTTTTAACTACCAGGCTTCTGCTGGAAACCGGTGGCCACTGATAGA